TATTATTTGTTGAAACTGTACTTTCGATTTGATTTGAAACTGTCTCATTGCTATATGTTTATCAATAAAACTTTGAAAAGAAAAAAAAAAGCCATCTATGAAAGACCAACAGCCAACATTATACTTAATGGACAAAAATTGAAAGTCTTCACTTTAAAATCAGGAACAAGATAAGGATGCCCACAGTCACCACTCCTGGTATATAGTTCTGGAAACATTAGCTAGAGCAGTTAAACAAGAGAAAGAAAAGGAATCATGAATGGAAAGGAATAAGTGAAATTATCATTATTTGCAAATGACATGATGCTGTACATAGAAGACCCCAAAAACTCCACTAACAGACTTGTAGATTTAATAATCAAATTCAGTAGCATAGCAGGATACAAAGTTAACACTTAAAAATCATTAACATTTCTATACACAATGAGAATGCGCCAAGAGAGAAATTATGGAAATAACTTTTCACAGTAATACCCCCCAAAAATGAAATACTTAGGAATCATCAGTCTCACAGAGAAGTAAAAGATTGATACAGTAAAAATTATATTACTGGGGCTGGAGAGATGGCTCAGTGGTCTAGGGCACCTACTTAGAACAAGCTTAGCAAAAGCATCAGGGACCGCGGTTCAATCCCCCAGCACCACAAGCCAGCCAGCCCCCGCCCCCTGGTGGGCTGAGCTGGCCACACACACACATACACACAAAATAAATAAATATTTTTTAAAAAATTGAAGGGAATAGGAAAATGATGGAAACGTTGAAAACTACAGGAAAAAGCTAGACTACATGAAATAGATTCAAGCTGATAACCTAGGACATTATGAATTCTATTGAAAGCTGGCAAAATTGCTTGAATGAAACAAAAGTAGTAGCAGAAAATTTCCTGAGCATGGGAAAAGAACCTGATACAGCTAACTAAAGCATATAGAACTCCAGTTAGTCCTAATCAAAATAAATTGTCACCCAAATGCATAAGAATCAAGATCCCAGAAATTGAGCAAAACAGCAGAATATTAAAAGCTATTAGAAGAAACAGATCATCTATATTAGAAAGCCATCAGAATCATGGCAGATTTCTCAACACAGACCATCAAATCAAAAGTGAGATATTTGAGGTTCTGAAAGAAAACTTTCAACCCAGATTGATGTATCCTGAAAAACTATCAGATTTAATGTAGAGATTAGATACTTACATGAAAAGAACTGAAGAAATTGATGACAACCAAACCAATCCTATAAAGAATACTGACAGATATTTTAGAGACAAAGATGACCACTACTTCAACAACAACAGAAGAGAACTAGGTAGAGCAAGCAATTAAGCAAAGGGGGAAAAGTGGGGATCCTACAGTAGGAAAACAACATGACAAAGATAGGCCAATACGTATGTTATCACTATCAATGTAAATGGCCTCAATTTACCAGTCAAAAGAAGCACACTGGCAGAGTGGATAAAGAAACAAAACCCAACAATATGATGAATGCAAGAAACACATTTAACTCAAAGAGAAATTAGTAGACTGAATGTCAAAGGATGGAAAACAATACTCCATGCAACAGGAATCCAGGAATAGCTATTCTGGTTGTGGACAATGTCAGCTTCAAACCTAATGTGATTAAAAGAGACCAAGGTTACTATATACTTTTTTGGGAGAGAAACTGCAGGAGGAAAAGAAAAATTATAAATGTATCACCCAGTGTAGAAACACCCAACTATATTAAGACAAGTTTTAGCAGGCATGAAAAGTCGAATCAGCAATAACATAATTGTGTTGGACTTACACCCTGTTGACACAAAGAAATAGATCAGCCATGCAAAAAAATGAGCACAGAAATAACAAAATCAAACCAAACTTATTAAAAAATGAACTTAATAAACCTTTACAGTGTTCCACCCAGCAGTATCAAAATACACATTTTTCTCAGCTGCACATGGGACATTCTCCAGAATGGATCATGTGCTAGCACAAAGAACATGCTTAAGTAAATGCAAAGGAATCAGAAATTACCCCATGAATATTATCTTTCTGTAATGCACTGAATCTGGAAATTATTGACAAAAGAAACAGCAAAAATTACAAACACATGGAAATTAAATAACATCCTCTT